ATCCCCATCCGTTCCCCTGTCTCCTCGGTTACGAAGGAGATAACGCCCCTAACTTCCTCGCGCAACGATTACTGGAACGCTAGACGAGGTACAGCCAATAGTGCTCGCACAAAGCTCGGACATAGCGCAAGAAGAACGAGGGGAGAAGGAAGAGTAGCCGTACAAAAGGGACATAGACGAACATAGAGACAAGCGACGCGAGTCATTAAGGTAGAATGGAAACAATGAGCTCGAACCGGCGAAGGCGCAGATCAAGAGACGAGCTCAGAGCATGAAAGGCGCCTAGCATTAGCAGAAAGCACCCTGCATAACAGACGCAGAAATCACGATGAAGAAAGGGCTAGACGAAGAAGGAATTCATTATTGCCATAAAAATGAGAAGAGAAACACAACGCGTCTATGCAAGAACGAGTCGCGGGAGAAGAACTGTAATGACATAACTCTGAAGACGAACAAAGCTAGAAGAGAGACACCAGTGAAGGACTGACAAGGGAGAGGTTACTTATGTAAAAGCTACGAGATGAGAATGTAACGACGTAAGCGTAGGTAGGACACCGATGAGGCAAAGATCGAGCAAACTCGACCGTTCGTGGCGCAAGAGGTGAGTCTTGCGGCTGAAGCTCCGGGCACAGTGGGTACAGATGTACGGGCGCAGGCCGGTGTGGACGGCCTGGTGTCGCACCAAATTGGTCTTGGAGCTGAAGCGCCGGGGGCACTGGGTGCAGGCGTGTGGCCGCAGACCGGTGTGGACGGCTTCGTGGCGGGCCAGGTGGGACTTTCGGCTAAATGCACGGCCACAGAGTGGACAGGCGAAGGGGCGCTGGCCGGCGTGGGATTTGACGTGTGCTACCAAACTGGCCCGGGTTCCAAAGGTGCGGCCGCACTGTGCGCAAGAGAAAGGCCGCTCAGCTGAGTGTTGGTTGCGTCGGTGCCGTTGCAGGTGCCGCTTGTGCGCAAAGCAACGGCCGCATTCGGCGCAGGCAAAGGGCCGCTGCCCGGCATGACCCCCACACTGGTGAGAGGCCAGGCCGGCCCGGTGGGCGAAGCTCCTCTCACAGTGTGGACAAGCATATGGCAGCAGTCCCATGTGTCCGCGCAAGTGCGCTGTAAGGTGACGCTTGTCGCTGAAGCCGCGGCCGCACTCGGCACAGGAAAAGGGCCTCCCCCCCTCAGTGTGCAGCCGCTGGTGGGAGGCCAGGTTCTTCCTCCAGGCGAAGGCCTTCCCACAGTCGGAGCAGAGAAACGGCTTCTCTTCTGGCTGCTGGCAAGCGGTGTCGGGGTCCCCCTCCGGCTCGGTCTTGCTCACGGGTTCCACGCATGGGTTGCCCCCCTCTGCCTGCTCCTGTGCCCCACAGACAGGCCCACAGTGCCCTTGCTCCGGATAAGGGAAACCCATTGCCATGACCTCTCTCTGGATGTTATGTTCAATGCATGGGAGCCTGGCCATCTCCTGCTCAACGGGGGCCTTGAACAGGATGGAGCCCTGGTACATTTCGGGGTGCCCCATGCAGGAGGGCGGGAACGGTACCAGTTCGCTTGGATCTCGGTACAACATGGCTGTCGGGGGCCCCAGCTCGCTGGCTTCCACGGATGGGGGTACTGCTGGTCCCAGTTCAGCGGAGGAAGCCACGGCCTGTCCCTGTTCACCGGGGTGCCCACAGAGACCCACATCTGTCCGGGGCTGGGGATCAGCACTGATGTTCGCTGGGGCTTGCCCTGGTTCCAAGCGGCCCCCCTCCGGCGTGGCCCCCTCCTCGTGTTGGCGCTGGTGGCGCAGCAGGTGCCTCCGGTGCACAAAGCTGCGGGCGCAGAGGGCGCAGGGGTGGGGCCGCTCTCCGGTGTGGGTGAGCTGGTGGCGCACCAGGTGAGTCTTCTTGCGGAAGCTCTTGGTGCAGCGGTCGCAGGGGAAGGGCCGCTCGCCCGTGTGCACCCGCTCGTGGGAGCCAAGGTGGATCTTCTGCGAGAAGCGGCGGCCGCAGTGCGAGCAGGCGAAGGGGCGTTCGCCGGTGTGGATGCGGGCGTGGCGGGTCAGGTGGGCCTTCTTGCCAAAGGCCTTGCCACACTGGGGGCAGGGGAAAGGGCGAGGGCGGGGGTCTCCGTTGTCAACCCCGCCTCCGCCCAGCGGCCCCCCAGGATGCTCGCACTTGGGGCAGGCCAGGGGCTTTTCCTCGCTCAACATCTGCCACTGCTGGAGCGCCAAGCCTGAGAGCTCACCCAGGCCCCCGTTGCCTCGGTATTCTACCCGGGGGCCCTGGCCCTCCGCCTTGCAGACGTTTCCTGGAGGGAGGCCCGAGAAGAGCACCTCCGCGCTCAGGCCGGCCGGCCACTCTGAGTAGTCCTCAGCCTCCACCTTCACTGTCCGGATCAGCCACTCGCCTGCTGGGATGGAGAAGACATGAGAGGCACCAAGTTAGGAGGGGCAGGAGAGAGGCACAAAGCGAGAAGACATACCGAAGAATGAGGGCATCATCATCAGCAGGAGGAGAAAGGTCACCACGCCACCCAGAATGCCCAGGTTTTATGCATTTGCTTATTTGGTTTCTACTTTGCTTTTCTCCCACATGGGACCCAAAGCAGATCAGGCTTTATGTTGAAAGGGCAAAGCTTAGCAGAGTAAGGCCTAAAGATCTTGGAGTCCTCATGGACAACAAGTTAAACATGAGCCAATAGGGCTGTCCAACCACGGAAAAATTTGTTTCTAAATTCGATTCGTTTTTAGGGTTTTTTGCGTTTCGTTATTTAAAAGAATTCCGAAATTTTTCTTTTAAAAAGTTCGATATTTACAAAATTTCGGAAATTAACAATTTCGAAACAATAACGAATCGATTCGTTAATGGCGGACGCGATTGCGCAATTACGCTAAAAAACCCTCCAAATGGGACAGGGGGAACTTCTGAAGCTTCCCTCTCCCTCTGTTGTTGACTGTTGGTGTGATAATTTATTTTTTTATCACTGATAAACAACAACTATAAAACTTGCACCAGACATACGGAAATAATAACGAAATAATAACGAAACAATTTCAAAACAATTACGAAACAATTACGAAACGAATTGGAAAAATTCGTTTAGTTTTTTAGTTGCTCCTGAATGGTTCAATATCGCTTCGTTATAAAAAAAAAGAACGAATTAATAACAAATTATGAAATTAACGAACGAAACCACCCAGCCCTATGAGCCAACAATGTGATGTGGTGTCATGTATCATGTTCTGCAGTTGTTGGTGGTTGGTGGTGGTAGGCCTAGCAGTTGGTGATGGAAGGGTTAATGTAAGTCTATTTATTTATTTTATTTATTTATTTCAGTTACTTCTACCCCGCCCTTTTCACCCCCGAGGGGGGACTCAGGGCGGCTTACAAACGAAGGCACAATTCGATGCCTATGTCAATTATACAAACATACATAAAAGCAATTTAAACAATTAACAAATTAAAATAATCAGTACATAATATAATAGTAAACAATCTCATGCTCAGTGTTCAGAAAGTCACGGCCTGTCCCTAAGTTCTAAAGGGTTGAGTAATCTGTAAGTAAGAGTTCATGGGTAAAAGTAATCAAGGGTGGAGGTATGCAAGAGATAAGCTGCAGCTGGCCATTTCTGGATATAATGAGCTAGCTTTGGGACTGGTCTTTGGGAGAAAAGTTTTGTTTTGGTGGTAGATGCTGCTGGTTTTCCCCCAGGTTTGTGGATTTTCGGTATCCTGACCTGCCTCCTGAACTCTTAGAACCCTGGAACTTTTAATCTCTGGACTGGTTTTGGACTACGGTATAGACCAGGGGTCCTCAAACTAAGGCCCGAGGGGCCGAATATGGCCCTCCAAGGTCATTTACCCAGCCCTCGCTCAGGGTCAACCTAAGTCTGAAACGACTTGAAAGCACACAACAACAACAACAACAATCCTATCTCATCAGCCAAAAGCAGGCCCACACTTCCCATTGAAATACTAATAAGTTTATATTTGTTAAAATTGTTCTTCATTTTAATTATTGTTGTAAGTGTTTTTTGCACTACAAATAAGATATGCGCAGTGTGCATAGGAGTTCATTCATGCTTTTTTCAAATTATAATCCGGCCCTCCAACAGTTTGAGGGACTGTGACCTGGTATAGACTCTTGATCCCTGGACTTTGCTCATTGAACTCTCAGCATTTGACCACTGGACTGGACCCTTTGATGACAGAGTAGCTTTTGCTATCAGTTTTTGTTTATTCTGTGGCGGAGTGCTATCTTTATGTTATATATTTTGGACTATCAAAACAGTCAGAAAGTAAGTACTGTTTTAATTAAACTGTTTGATACAAACTGGGTGTTTGTTTGGTTCATCTCTGCCTGAATAAGGCAGAGTCCTGGCATTGTGACACGTGGCAGCTAAAAAAGCCAATGGGATTTTGGCTTGCATAAAGAGGACTCTATGGTCTAGATTGAGGAAAGTCACGATAGCCCTCTATTCTATTCTGCCTTGGTCAGACCACACCTAGAATCACACTGTGTCCAATTCTGGGCACCGTAATTGAAGGGAAATGTTGACTCTAAGCTGGAATGTGTCTAGATGAAGAGGGTGACTCAAAGGCTCCAGCATCTGGAGAACAAGCCCTATGAGGAACAGCTGAAAGATCTGGGCATGTTTAGCCTGCAGAAGAGAAGGCGGAGAGGAGACATGATGAGGGCTATGTCTAACAAGGTGAGAGGAAGTCATAGGGAGGTGGGCGCAAGCTTCCTTTCTGCTGCCCTGGAGACTAGGACTCAATGGAACAATGGCTTCAAACTACAAGAAAGAAAGGAACATTAGGAAGAACTTCCTCACTGAGAGAGCTGTTCAGCAGAGGAACTCTGCCCTGGAGGGAGTGTGGTGAAGGCTCCTTCTTTGGAGGTTTTGAAGCAGAGACTAGATGGCCATCTGTTGGGAGTGCTTTGAATGTGATTTTCCTGCTTCTTGGTAAAATGGGATTGGACTGGGTGACTCATGAGGTCTCTTCCAACACTTCTAGGATTCTAGTCCTTGGTGAGAGATGCCATCAAAGACCAGGGCCCTCTTTGGGTTGGACTAAGAAGGAAGCATCCCTGGGAACCCCATGGCTGCTGATCAATACAGGATGAGGCCTGATGGACCCTAAGGGTATGATTCAAAGCAAGGGCATCCTTCTATGTTCCCATGGTAAAGGTACCAGGTCCCATCTCTGGCATCTCCCAGCAAGATTAGGAAAGCAACCTAGTGTTTGTTTGGTTCATCTCTACCTGAATAAGGCAGAGTCCTGGCATCATGACACATGGCAGCTAAAAAAGGCAATGGGATTTTGGCTTGCATAAAAACGACTCTATGGTTTAGACTGAGGAAAGTCATGATACCCTCTATTCCAGTGTTTCTCAACCTGGGGGTCGGGACCCCTGTGGGGGTCGCGAGGGTCGCCAAAGACCATCAAGAAACATAGTATTTTCTGTTGGTCATGGGGGTTCTGTGTGGAAAATTTGGTCCAATTCTATCGTTGGTGGGGTTTAGAATTCTATTTTATTGTGGGTGAACTATAAATCCCAACAAATACAACTCTCAAATGGCAATGTCTATTTTCTCCAAACTCTACTAGTGTTCACATTTGGGCATATTGAATATTTGTGCCAAGTTTGATCCGGATCCATCATTGCTCGAGTCCACGGTGTTCTCTGGATGTAGGTGAACTACAACTCCAAAAACTCAAGGTCAGTGTCCACCAGACCTTCCCAGTATTTTCTTTTGGTCATGGGAATTCTGTGTGCCAAGTTTGATTCAATTCCATCATTGGGGAGTTCAGAAGGCACTTTGATTTTAGGTGAACCATAAATCCCAGCAACTCCAGCATTACCAAATGACAAAATCAATCACCCCCAACCCCGCCAGTATTCAAATTTGGGTATATTGGGTATTTGTGCCAGATTTGGTCCAGTGAATGAAAATACATCCTGCATATCAGATATTACATGACTATTCATAACAGTAGCAAAATTACAGTTATGAAGTAGCAACAAAAATAATTTTATGGTTGGGGGTCACCACAACATGAGGAACTGTATAAGGGGTCACGGCATTAGGAAGGTTGAGAACCACTGCTCTATTCTATTCTGCCTTGGTCAGACCAAGCAATGTGATAAATGGTCACTTGACCTGGTGGGCCATCAGCATTGACAATACAAGGCTAGATGGAACAAGGGTCTCACAGCTTCCCGCTCTGCTCCTCCATGCCAGTCCCTCCCCAAATGCCTCAGTCTTTTAGGCAAAGATGAACTGGACACTCCTTACCTGGGCCACTCCTCTCAGGATGCTTTGATTCTCCCACTCCTCGTTGGTCCAGTCCCACTTGTGGGGGCGGGAGTGACAGTGGGGGCGGGTGGCCCTTCTTAGCATCGTTTCCCGTCTCTGGGGCCACCGATCCTGCTCAAGAGAAGGAGGAAAATTACTGGGACAGATAGACATGTCTTCCTAGGAGAGCTCCCAGGGCCTTATACATTGCAGGGTTGTTTCTTTTACCCAAGGTCATGTGAGTCTCTTAGGAAGAAAATCCATTTTAAGCAATGTAATTCAGAATTTCAGATACTGATAATAATTGGGAGACTAACAAGGACAGTACGCAATTGAACAAGCGGGAACAGTTCAGAAAGTTCAAACACTTTGAAACCAAGTGTTTGGTTCCTGCATCTTGATGGGGGATTGGACTGGATGGCCCACCAGATCTCTTCCTACTCAATGAGTCTATGAATGCACATTCGGGGAAAATTAAATTTTAGAAATGCTTTAGGGCAGTGGCTCTCCACCTTCCTAATGCCACGACCCCTTAATACACTTCCTCATGTTATGGTGAGCCCCAACCATAACATTAGTTTCGTTGCTACTTCATAACTGTCATTTTGTTACTGTTGTGGATAGTAATGTAAATATCTGGTATGCAGGATGTATTTTCATACACTGGACCAAATTTGGCACAAAGACCCAATACACCCAAATTTGAATACTGGTGGGATTGGGGAGGGAGTGATTTTGTCATTTGGGAGTTGTAGTTGCTGGGATTTATAGTTCACCTACAATCAAAGAGCATTCTGAACTCCACAGAGGCAGCCCTAGGTACACAGAACTCCCATGACCAAGAGAAAATACTGGAAGGGTTTGGTGGGCATTGGCCTTGAGTTTTGGGAGTTGTAGTTCACCTACATTCAGAGAGCATTGTGAACTCAAACAATTATGGATTTGGACCAAACTCTACACAAATACTCAATATGCCCAAATGTGAACACTAGTAGGGTTTGGGGAAAATACACCTTGACATTTGGGAGTTGTAGTTGCTGGGGTTTATAGTTCACCTACAATCAAAGAGCATTCTGAACCCCTCAACGACTGAATTGGGCCAAACTTCCCACACAGAACCTCCATGACCACAGAAAAAACTGTGTTTTCTTGTGGTCTTTGGTGACCCCTCTGACACCCCTTTGCGACCCCTCCAGGGGTCCCGACCCCCAGGTTGAGAAATACTGCTTTAGGGGCATCTTTCCTCCAAGCAGGGGTTTGGCCTTGATGCCCTTGCAGTCCCTTCCAACTCTGGGATCAAAACCCAGGATTTAAATTGGTACCAGAATGAAAGCAATGCAGCTGTCCCTGTTGAACTTCATTTTGTTACTTTTGGCCATTCATCTCTCTAATCTGTCAAGATCGTTTTGACTCCTGCTCCTACTCCAGAGATGAATGGCCAAAACTAACAAAATGAAGTTCAACAGGGGCAAATACAAGATACTCCACTTAGGCAGAAAAAATGAAATGCAAAGATACAAAATGAGGGACGATGCCAGGCTTGATAGTAGTACGTGTGAAAAAGATCTTGGAGTCCCCATGGACAACAAGTTAAACATGAGCCAACAATGTGATGTGGTGGCAAAAAAAGTCAATAGGATTTTGGCCTCTATAGTGTCTTGATCCAGGGAAGTCCTGTTCCCCATGCGCTATTCCGCTTTGGTTAGACCACACCTGGAATATTGTGTCCAATTCTGGGCACCACAATTGAAGGGAGATGTTGACTCTAAGCTGGAATGTGTCCAGAGGAGGGCGACTCAAATGATCAAGGGTCTGGAGAACAAGCCCTATGAGGAGCGGCTTAAGGAGCTGGGCATGTTTAGCCTGAAGAAGAGAAGGCTGAGAGGAGATATGATGAGGGCCATGTATAAATATGTGAGAGGAAGCCACAGGGAGGAGGGAGCAAGCTTGTTTTCTGCTTCCCTGGAGACTAGGACGCAATGGAACAATGGCTTCAAACTACAAGAGAGGAGATTCCACCTGAACATGAGGAAGAACTTCCTGACTGTGAGAGCTGTTCAGCAGTGGAACTCTCTGCCCCAGAGTGTGGTGGAGGCTCCTTCTTTGGAAGCTTTTAAACAGAGGCTGGATGGCCATCTGTCAGGGGTGATTTGAATGCAATATTCCTTCTTCTTGGCAGAATGGGGTTGGACTGGATGGCCCACCAGGTCTCTTCCAACTCTAGGATTCTATGATTCAATCAAAATTGAGAATTGCCAATAGGGAAATCAAACTGAGGTTTGACTGAACTGATTGAGATTTGGATGATACCTTCTAGTGTCCTCCATCCTCATGGGGGTCCTCCCAAAACATCTCAGGAACAGGGGCAAACCTGTACCTCAACCTAAACAGGGCTTTCTTTGCTGTGGCACCACCATTGTTGACAGCAGCCTTTTTAGAATCCTAAATAGGACCATTTTGGAACCAAGTCTAAAAGGGGATTTTTGTGAAGGCCGTTGAGGCTGCATTCATTTCATACATGGTTTTAAAACAGTTCTAAACTCTTTTAACTGGTCTTATGGGTTTTAGCTTCTCAAATACTCAGATATGCTTTCTCTCTGTTTACATTATCCTTTGCACAATTGTATATATTATATTATTTAGCGTGATGATATTGGGCACTACCACAATGTGGCATAAGCTGAGCATCCCTTATCCGAAATGCTTGGGACCAGAAGTGTTTTGGATGTCAGATTCTGGAATACCTGTATTACCATACAGATCCACCATGAGATAGCTTGGAGATGGGACTCGGGTCTAAATGTAAAATCCATTTTGGCTTTTTACATAAATACCTGCATACAGTACATGGTTTTACTATGCTGTTTTATATTGTTGATTTTGTTATTTCATATTTTGTTATGATGTATTTTGTTATTGTGTTTATTATGTTGTATTATTTTGGGCTTGGCCTCACGTTAGCCATCCCGAGTCCCCTTTGGGGAGATGGTGGCGGGGAATAAATAAAGTGTATTATTATTATTATTATTATTATTATTATTATTATTATTATTATTATTACATAGTCCAAAGGGATTTTAAGTACATCTCTATGAACCCTCACCTAACTGCTAACATCTACCTTGTTAATCTTCTGTTCACCATCTCCCAACAATTTTACTCAAATTTTAAAGAGATTTTAAGAATTTAATGTTTTTAACTATGTGTTTTGCATTACGTCTTGTTTTATGATTTTTACTGAGTTTGTTTATATATTACTGTCATCACTGAATGTTTGCCACTGTGTTTATTTTAATTTTTTTGTACACCGCTCTGAGTCTTTTCAGGCAGATAGGGCAAACTATAAATAAAGTGTCGTTTCGTTTCATTTTAGGCAATATTTTTAAAGATTTGGTGTAGGATGCAAAACTAGTGAACCATCAGAAAACAAAAGTGTCCCCCTCACTGCTACTTATGTGGGATATTTTGCAATATTTCAGATTTTGGAATTCCAGATTATTTTATGAGTAGGAAGAGCCCATCCAAACTTTAAGGCAGGCCTGGGCAAACTTAGGCCCCCCAGGTGTTTTGGACCACAACTCCCATGTCTGCCTTAAGACAATCCCCCTAATTGTTTTTCCCTTCCCTGGATCCCAACCACCCCGTCCAGGCTGGCGAGCCTTTCTGGGTGCGTTGGTCCTCCCAGAGCCTCCTCCTCCTCTCTGACCTGCATTGGCAATCCCTGGAGGCCCCCTTGGGCCGGCATCCCCTTGGCCCTTGGCTGGAAGGAGGCGCCCGTCCTCAATCTGGGCCACCATTTCAGGTTTGGCCACCGGAGATCCTGCAAGAAGAAAAGAGGACACCGTTTGCAAGGCACAATTCCACCCCGGCTGTGATACGCTGCATACCGCAATGTCACTGTGGAAGATATGTCCCACTTCTAAGACAATTCCGACAAAGACATTGAGCATAAAAAAGGAGGTGGAGGAAAGGAATCGATGGGCACCTTCAAGGGAAACTGGTTTATTGTAGCCAGAGTGTTCCTGGAGTTAACTCACTTCTCCTACAAGCAATCACTTGATTTATGGTTGAATGGCCATCTGGCACGAGGGCTTGGATTGTGCCTTCTTCTATGGATTGGATGGCCCTTGGGGTCTCTTCTAACGCTGTCATCCTTTTTTCCCTTTCTACACTGCGCATGCATACATTGCGCCATGTTTCTTCACCAATGACCAGAAGTTTCTTCACCAATGACCAGATCAAATTGCCACCATGTTGAAATGAGCACCTTTTATTACCTCCCCGCCAAAGCAGTGCATATTATTTATTTACAGTATTTATATTCCACCCTTCTAAACCAGCAGGGGACTCAGTGTCAGACTGTAGGATCTATATAGCAATATTAAATAGCCACTCACAAGCCGGTTTTGCTTTGAAATGGATATATTGCTTGTATCTCTGCAGCAAAGAAAGACACTACTGACTTTTTCCCACCACCACTTCCTTTTATACACCTTTCCTGCCCATCTCCCCCTCTTCTCAGTTTCCTTATTAGAACTTGTTGCTTCACAAGTTCCAATACAAGGTTTTCAGCGCCTTCTGCTGGCTTCAAAATGTCACAGAGAGACATGTCACGGAGGGAATTTGTGATGTCTTCATGCCGTCAGAAATTGACTCCTGACACTCAGCGTGGATCACAATGCACATATACATGGTAAACATTCAATGCCATAAGACACCCAACATATATAGACAGACACACAGAGGCTATTTAACTTTCCAGCTTCATGAGGGTATGCTATGAATTCCAGCCACCGGGGGAGCTGTTGCTTCACCATCCACTTGTGACACCAATGGAGTACTTCCTCATTCTTTTGCATGCTGCTGGAGAGTTTTTATGGCATCGTAAATTAGTTAAATTAGCCTCCCCGCATAAGCCGTACCTAAATTTCCTACTTGACAAATGCAACTGTCTTTCGGGCTGCAAAGGTCAACAACAAGCTAGACAAATGGTCAGGAGCTTACTCCAACCCAGGCTGGCTTCGAACTCATGACCTTTTGGTCAGTAGTGATTTTAATGCAGCTGACTCCCAACCAGCTGCGCCACAACCCGGTATTAATCTACTCACATTGCTGTTTTTGAACTGCTAGGTGAGCAGAATCTGGGCTGATGGTTGGGAGCTCACCCCAACCCAGACCTGAACTGTCGACCTTTTAATCGGCAAGATTTTCTGCAGCTGGCTGTGCTAAAGCCCTGCCCATTCTTTTCTTCTTTTCCTATACTGCACATGGATAGATCGCTCCATGTTTCCTCACCAAAGGCCAGAAGTGTCTTTGGTTCCAAAGGCCAACACGTTTGTCAAAAAACCTATCTCTTCTCTGGTATCAGTGGTCAATCAGCTGCTCTGGAGAAGGTGTGTCCAGCTACAGTCCTGGGCAAGGGTAATGCAGCAGAAATAGGCCTCACTGTGACTGGAGATACTTCCTCTCGTTTTGAAATGTCCATTATTCCCTGTTTTATGCCTGACCTGATGTTTGTGAAACAGTCACGCATCGTATAAAACTTTACTGCTCTCCCCATAAACGGCTGTAGATTATTTTATGATTAGCAAGGTACCCATTGATTGGTGAGTCCATGGAAAAAGGGCCTTCTTGGTGACTGCTCTGTGGAACTCCCTCTCACTGGAAACTAGGTGGGTCCCCTCCATGAAGACATTGCACATCAACCTAGTGAAGCCTTTGACTATGCAGTATCTATTTAATGTGTTGTTGAAGGTTTCCACGGCTGGAATCACAGGGTTGCTGTGAGTTTTCTGGGCTGTCTAACCATGTTCCAGAAGCATTCTCTCCTGACGTTCTGCCCACATCTATGGCAGGCATCCTCAGGGGTTGTGAGGTCTAGAAACTAAGCAAGTGAGGTTTATACATCTACTATAGATGTGGGCGAAACATCAGGAGTGAATGCTTCTGGAACATGACCAAACAGCATGGAAAACTCACAGCAACCCAGAGTCTATTGAATTGTCCCTTCCCCTGGGCCATCTGCCTGTCATCTCTGGGAAAAGGACCTGGTGTGAAACTCTGGGTGTCTTTGTAACAGAGGCATTCTTCTTCACATTGAGTTGCCAGGTTAAAATCGAAGAGGGAATTCCAGCAGGTGTTGCTTGTGACCAGGTTGCATGACAAGCCACACCTGCTCAAATGCCTTTGTCTACAACCATAACATGTACATAAAATGCCTTCTCCGGTTTTCGATCTGACCACCTTAATTAACATTGCACCCACTACACCTGATATATCACTCGGTGGTTTGTTTTTGTTCAGTTCAGTCAGGTTCCACGTGGCCCTCCACCCTGTTTTGATCTCCCCTATTTTCTCTATGGAGTCCACCCACTTTGAATCCAGTCCAGAAGACATATCAAATCAACTAGGATCCCAGTCTTTTCCACAGGGACTCAAGATCGGCTAGAAATGGCTACCCAGCCCAGCCGTTGCACAGTCGGACAAAGCGGCCCTGCTTTACCCAGAGCGATGGTGGAGCCGAAGTTCTCCCGCATGGCGTCCGCATGCGCCGCCCAGCCTCTCCACCGTTCGGGGGCCGGGTAGAGAGCCGTGTCTTCGCACCGCACCAGCACCTGCAACACAAAACCTGAGTCAGCACACTACATTCGTGTCATTTCCATGAAACCCAGGTGGGTGTATCGTGGGAGGATTGGGGGCTCAAATAATCCCCCTGAGACCTTAGAGCAGGCATGGGCAAACTTCAGCCCTCTCAGTGTTTTGGACTTCAACTCAAACTTATACTTACTCTTGTTTCCAGATGGAAAATGGCACCTAGACACTGAAAGTGGCTATGAGAGTTTTCTAGCTCTTTGTCATATGTTCTGCAGTTGATGGTGGTTGGTGATGGAAGGGTTAATGTGAGTATTAGTTCTAGAGGGTTTGGTGATCTGTAAGTGGGAGTTCATGGGTGAAAGCAATTAGGGGTGGAGGTGTGCAGGAGATGGGTTGCAGCTGGGTGTTACTGGATTTAAGGAGCTAACCTTGGGACTGATCTTTGGGAGAAAAGTATTTGTTGTATTTTGGTGTGGATGCTGTTGGTTTTTCCCCGGGTCTGTTGTATTTTTTGGTATCCTGATCTGTCTCCTGTAATATTGGAATCCTGGAACCTTTGGATTGGCTTTTGACTATGGTATAGACTCTTGATTCCTGGACTCTGTTATTGAACTCTCATCATTTGACCATTGGACTGGATCCTTTTGACTACGAAGTTATTTTTGCTATCAGTTGTTGTTTATTCTGCAGCTGCGTGCTATCTTTGTATTTTATATTTTGGACTATAAAAACAGCCAGCAAGTAAGTGCTGTTTTAATTAAACCGTTTGTTAAAACTGGGAGTTTGATTCATCTCTACCTAAACAAGGTAGAGCCCTGGCAACGTGACAGCCCGAAATGACCTCTCCAGGGCACGGTAAGTAGTCTTGCCATGTTTATGAGTCTTCCTTGAGAATCGTACCTCTAGGATTCCATTCTAACTGTCATGGCTCCATCCTTTGGATTCCTGGGAATCTGGGAATGGGCTAGTTGTTGATTTTAGCTATTTGTTTTGACAATTCTAGTTGAATTCAACTTTAATGTTGATATATGCTGCGACTGTTCCTCGAGAAGTCAGACATGGCTATGGTGGTCCATCATGTAAATAAATGAATGGCAATGATAATACAATAAATGGGTCCCTGGGAGCAAGCAGGATCGACTGTAACCACTCCATTGTGCAAAATAATTGTGGAAAAAAAGCCCCTCCCCCCGAAAAAGGCCTTCCCATCCTAAAGTGTTTGGCCAATTTTGTTTCAAAGGAATTTCCTGTTTAATTCCCTTTTCCTTATTAAAAAAAAGAGAGATAGTGAGAGAAAATAACAAGGACTGCCTTTGTTTCCCAGGAACATCGGCCAGGCGGGTGACAGGAAAAGAGAGAGAAACTCGGGAGAGAAATAGGTTGCTGTGAGTTTTCCGGGCTATCTGGCTATGTTCAAGAAGCATTCTCTCCTGATGTTTCACCCACATCTATGGCAGGCATCCTCAGAGGTTGTGAGATCTGTTGGAAACTAGGCAAGTGGGGTTTATATATCTGTGGAATGTCCAGGGTGGGAGAAAGAACTCTTGTCTGTTGGAAGCAAGTGTGAATGTTGCCATTGGCCACCTTGATTAGCACTGAATAGCCTTGCAGCTTTAAAGCCTGGCTGCTTCCTGCCTGGAGGAATTCAGGGCAATAAAGCAGCAATAGGAAAGTTTACCAGGCCAATTAGATTTGACGTGGATGACTAGGACGGTTTTAAATGGTGCATTTTAATATTTTGATAAATGTTTTTAATGTTTATATATGTATATAAGAATTTGTGTCCCAGCATTGAATGTATATGTATATGCTGTGCTCCGCCCTGAGTCCCCTTTGGGGTGAGAAGGGCAGAATATAAAGGTTTTAAATAATAATAATAATAATAATAATAATAATAATAATAATAGTCTGTTGGAGGCAAGTGTGAATGTTGCCATTGGCCACCTTGATTAGCACTGAATAGCCTTGCAGCTTTAAAGCCTGGCTGCTTCCTGCCTGGAGGAATTCAGGGCAATAAAGCAGCAATAGGAAAGTTTACCAGGCCAATTAGATTTGACGTGGATGACTAGGACGGTTTTAAATGGTGCATTTTAATATTTTGATAAATGTTTTTAATGTTTATATATGTATATAAGAATTTGTGTCCTGGCATTGAATGTTTGCCGTATATATACAATGCTCCACCCTGAGTCCCCTTCGGGGTGAGAAGGGCGGAATATAAAGGTTTTATAATAATAATAATAATAATTGTCTGTTGGAGGCAAGTTGCGATTGTTTGATTTTGTGTGGTTTTTTATTCCTGGTATGTTTGGTATTTTAAGCTTTTTTGTGTTTGTTTTGTTTAGTTTTGTATCGTTGATTTTTTGTGGTGATGGATGCATGAATATGTGTGTTGAGTGAAAATGTAATAGTGTTTTATTGAGTTTTTGTGTTGATGAGGTTTTAGTTTTAGTATTTTTGAGGGTAGTAGTGGTTTTGGAATGGTCTGTTGTTAAGTTGTGATTTTGTAGTGGTGTTTGTTTGAGTTGAGGTCTTTTTGTGTTTTGAGTTTAGTTTTTATTTTTGGTTTTTAGTTGAGTGTTGTTATAGTTGTTTCGTTTTTATTCAGTATTGTTTTGGTTTTTGTTTTAGGTTTTCTTTGTTTTTTAGTTTTTTCGAGATGGGAGTTGTATGTATAGATGGAGTGTTTTATGGGTCTTTAATGTTTATGTATGTATGTGAATTTGTGTCCCAGCATTGAATGTATATGTATATGCTGTGCTCCGCCCTGAGTCCCCTTTGGGGTGAGAAGGGCAGAATATAAAGGTTTTAAATAATAATAATAATAATAATAATAATAATAATAATAATAGTCTGTTGGAGGCAAGTGTGAATGTTGCCATCGGCCACCTTAATTAGCACTGAATAGCTTTGCACCTTTAAAGACTGGCTGCTTCCTGCCTGGGGGAATCCTTTGTTGGGAGGAGCCAGGCTTTGAAAAAGCTATTCAATGCTAATCAATAGGCCTGTTTGATCAAGAAAAAATTTGTTTCTAAAATCGATTTGTAATTGGGGTGTTTTTTTGTTTCGATATTTAAAATAATTACAAAACTTTCCAAAAAAAAGTTTCGGTATTTACGAAATTTCGTAAATATTAACAAAACATTTTGTAAAGATGGGGCCTTTTTTTTTTTCAATATTTTTAAAATATTTTTTAAATTTAATTATTAAATAATTTAGTAGAATAGGGAGGAGAAATTAAGGGAAGGCAGGCACTCACTCTGGCGGGCCCTCTCGCTCGCCGCTCGCCCTCTCGCTCGCCGCTCGCCCTCTCACTCGCCCTCTCGCTCGCCTCGCTCGCCCTCTCGCTCGCCGCTCGCCCTCTCGCTCCCCTCTCGCTCGCCGTTCGTAGATAGGGAGGAGAAATTATTATTGAGGGAAGGCAGGCACTCACTCTGGCGGGCCCTCTCGCTCGCCGCTCGCTCGCCACTCGCCCTCTCGCTCGCCGCTCGCCCTCTCGCTCGCTGCTCGCCCTCTCGCTCGCCCTCTCGCCCTCTCGCTAGGATGGGTTCCTTCCAGGCTCGCTCGCCCTCTCGCTCGCCTCGCCCTCTCGCTCGCCCTCTCACTCGCCCTCTCGCTCGCCCTCCGCCCTCTCGCTCGCCGCTCGCCCTCTCGCTCGCCCTCTCGCTCGCTTGCTCAGCCGGCGCGGAGAGAGGAGAGCTCCCAGCAAGCCAGGCGGCCATCTTACGTATTTCCGAAATGGACGGAAATACAAAATTTTTTGGCGCCTGCCGTTTCGATATTTAAAAACCCTTCTGGGTTTGAAAATATGTTTTGTTATTGTTTTGTATATGCAAAAATTAACGAATGTTTAACGAATTAACGAACGAAACCGCACAGGCCTACTAATCAAGGTGGCCAATGGCAACACTCACACTTGCCTCCAACAGACAAGAGTTCTTTCTCCCACCCTGGACATTACCCCACAAATATATATGTATAAACCCCACTTGCCTCGTTTCCAACAGACCTCACACTTCTGAGGATGCCTGCCATAGATGTGGGTGAAACGTCAGGAGAGAATGCCTCTAGAACATGGCCAGGCAGGCCAGAAAACTCACAACAACCCAATGATTCTGACCATGAAAGCATTCAACAACTCAGGGGAGAAATGTTTGCGCTGTGCAAAATGGGCCCAACCACATCTAAGGAAACCCTTGGAACAGTACAGAGTTGCTGTACGTCCATACATGCAGAGGATCTTTCCCCTAAATGCTGTAGGTTATAACTGTCCCAAAAGGTGCACATCTGCCTGGGGGATTATGGGAATGGCAGTCCAAAGAGAAGACCCTTCCCCAATCAATCCTCAAAGCTCTGCCAAGGAATCCCAGGCACCGGAGGCTCTATTTCAAAGGAAAGATCCATCAAAAGCGCCTCTGAGGCTCCCCGCCCTAAGGGAACGCCATAAAATTCTGTGTTGATCATAAGGCTTTCATGGGTTGGAATGTGAACGTGGCGAAGAAGTGAGTGAGCGACCAGAAAGGAAATGCAATGCAAACCCTGCCTGCCTCCCTGGCCCTCCTTCTCTCCTCTCTCTGTCTCACCATTGCAGGAATACATGCAGCCTTGACCCCACTTGAACTCATGGGCCTCATTGATATGTTGTATCTCGTAATGCATATTTATATCCCGCTTCCCTTCTCCCAAAAGAAGGCACAAAGCATCTCATACCAAAGACAAAAAGAATGCAATATGTAAAATTAAATATGGGACTTCACTGGCCTTGGGCCAACTTTGGCCCTCCAGGTGGGGTTGGGGGCTTCTGGGAGCTGTAGTGAGCTGTTAGGAATTGTGTGACTTGAAGTACAAAATATATTATTATTATTGTTATTATTATCATCATTTGGTTGGGCTTGATGGCTTTTGGTGTTCCCTTCCAACTCTAGGATTCTATGAACTCGCAGGATTCCCAAGTGGTGCCAATCTGCATTAATTAAGATGCACCCCAAGTCTATCTTCTCTTTGGGCCCCTGAGGTATGC